ACCGAGCTTACTCGTTATGTTGTTTATTCTTAAAATTTATTTCGCCTCAGTCGTTTATCGTTGGAAAAAATGCATTGGTCTTACGGCTTTGAGGTGATCACTTTTTTAACGTGTTATTGTGTTATAGACAAAGTTCGGGATCTTCCTTTTTGTCGTTTACCTGGCAAAAACTCAAGACTACTCCTCAAGTCCACATTCCAAAACTGTAAGTACCGCTGAATGTCTTTAGTTGTTATGTAATACTTAGGGATAAGGAATAGAGTGGTTTTCGTTTGAGTGTCGTAAAACCAAAACCAAAGTAATTACTCTGGCCAATCACATAGAACACAGACAATACATTGAACCAATCAAAACTCGAAGTAATTACATGTGGCTGACGCAAAGCGCGGGAAAATGCATGCGAGCGCGTCACAATTGGCTTTGGTTTTACTTCTGATTGGATGAAAAGGTGGCGCGAATCTTTTAAGCCAATCGCATCGTGTAGAAAGTGCAAAACCAATTACTTTTCGACACTCAAATGAAAACCGCTCTAACATATACTAAACAAATACACTGATCTTTTCCCTGTATCTCAAAAAAACAAAAACAAAACGACAACTAGATAAAAGGGTGAAACAGGTTAAACACGCTTTTCTTTTATATTATGTAAATTTGACGTAAAACAGATCTTGCCTACTGACTTACATGTTTTTCTTGGCAATGTGTTAAATGAAACGTTGCTGGCTGGCTTATAACTTACTTCTGCTACCGCTGGCTGGCAAACACCGAATTCCGTTTCACTCTGGCTGGGATTGCGTAATTTTTGTTTTTTTAACCTTGCTGGCTGGCAAAACACGGTCAAACATGATTGCTGGCTGGGATTTTTATATTCTGAAAGTCTTGCTTGCTAGCAGTGAAGAGCGGGTATTTTTTTCCCAGGAAAGTCAAATATTAACATAGGTTGACGTAAAAGCACTTTGCTAGCGTTTACGACTTCGTATAATCAATTTTGCGAAAAATGTTCGTTGGGTACTCCTGTAATACTAATAATGTATTAGTCTGTGTAATGGATACTACATGATCTGATGTAATGGCAGTGCTTTGAATATTGTTCAATTCGTGCAAGCTAAGTAAGTTTCAGATAAAGATAATTAAAACAAACGTCTTCTGCTATTGTTGAATTTGTCTCCCCTGTTCTGGTTGCCTTCGCTCACCTTCATCTGGGAAACGCAAAAATAACTGGGAAAACTGCCCTATTGCAATGGTGGCGTAAAAACTGAGCATGCTGTTTTTCCCTTTTCCTCTCGGTAAACGCTAGTTTGCATATCTCAAACCGTTCTAGGATACCTTGTGATGCCTACACAGAGTAATTGCATATATGTATATATGAGTGAGCCCTGACTCATCCTCGGAGACCCAGGGGCGGTCAGTCGGGTCAGGAGAAAAGGCTGAACGAAAGTTTTCAAGTACGGGCGAAAGAGCCCCAGGGTACTGACTCTCACCGAACTATTTCCAAAAATTCAAGCGGATGCCGGCTCCTGATTGGGCACAAAAAATGCTTTGTATTATTGTGCCCAATCGGCGAATAGTTTCTCCCGAGTTTTTTCGTGAGTTCGTACACGACAGCTATTGTCTCGCCACACTTGCCCGTTCCGTTCACCAAGCTTGTGCGTGCGAGGGAAACTTTTATTTTCTAGTTTCCTAACCAGAAACGAAGGAACTACCGATATGGCCCGAGTATTCTGTTTATGACTGATCACAATGTATCGTAAATAATAGGACATAATAGGAAGTTTAAGATGCGGCGGCGACGAGAAAGTCAAATAAGTAATCGCTCGACAAGGCAAAACACCAACTTTGCACGTGCATCACGCTTTTTTGTACATTTTTTTGCCGTAAACTGCACGACTACCCGTGAAAATGCCTAATTTCACGTTTTGTGAAGGACGTAAAGAACAAATGACAAAATTCATTCTCTTCATGAACTTGGATATGGTTGAAAGAAATTCAGCTCTTGAAGAGTTCGCTTGCATTTGACAAGGTAAGCGAGTTGGAATAATCACGATAGAGACTGAAAAAAAATATGAATTCACTTTTCCATGCGACATTTCCGTCGTGGTATCTTTTAAAAATTCTCTATAAATATATTTACGCAAGACGTGGCCGATGCAAGCGTCAATACCTGTTGTAAGCTGAAGCTTGTATTTTTGGAAAAGTGCCTTTAGTTTTCTGGTAGACAGTATTTTGAAATCAGATGGGATTTATATCAAACTGAAAGTTTCCTGACTACGTGCATTTTCTTTGGTGCATGACCCAGACAAGCCGTGATAGAGACAATAGCCGTCGTATACGAACACACGAAAAGAACTCAGGAGAGACTGTTCGCCGACTGGGCACAATAATACAAAGCATTTTTTGTGCCCAATCAGGAGCCAGCATCCGCTTGAATTTTTGGAAATGGTTCGGTGAGAGTCGGTACCCAGGGGCTCTTTCGCCCGTACTTGAAAACTTTCGTCGCGCCTTTTCTCGCGACCCGACTGACTGCCCCTGGGTCTCCGAGGATGGCCCTGACCATATATAGTGATTAGGGTTATGTTTCCATATCTCATACCGCCCTTTCCCTTTCACCTACACTTACATGAAATTTCTAAGTTTCTTGACTCAGAGACTTAGTTTCTGCTCAAAAAATGTTGTCAGAGTGCAAGTCTCTTCAATTTTAAAGGAAAAAAAAATTGAGTCACCAGCGGGAATCGATCCCCGAGTGCTAAATATGTCGTCTCATGCCCTAGCCACTAGACCACCGAGGATCCGCTTCAAGGAGCTGGAGTAATTTAACTACTGTAGAGAAAACCCTAACCCTAAAAAGAAGCTAACCGTTAACCCTAATCACTATTCTAAGTGCTTAACCCTGATCATTATGGTTAGTGCTTAACCCTAATCAGTATTTTCAGTGCTTAACCCTAATCAGTATTGTTAGTGCTTCCCCTCACCAACAGGCCACTTAACGCCATCCTTTGTCCTCCTTACTACATCAAAAGTATCAAAGGTATTCATAACTATCAGAAGCCCATAATGAGGAGCAAGCAACTCCCATACTAGGCCTATGTCATGGCGCTTTTACAGACCAGTTTATTTTTAGACACATTTTAGGGCACTTTTTTCCGCGAAAATAGAATCTCAGCCAGGTCTTCGAGCGCCTTCGAAGTATAAGACATCAAACAGGAAGTTAACGTTATTAAAAGGCAAAAAATATTTTTAGGTTTGTAGGTTTTGCTGGCTGGTTTGTGGAAATTAAAAGGTATTAAAAATTCGCGCCAAACCGTTCTAAAAATAAGCTGGTCCGTGAAAACGCCGTGACCAGCGGTGACACGAGCACATGGAAGTTGCTCACTCCGGATTATGGATGGGCTCCTGCAGCTGTAAAAAATGAACCATTATGGGATATCACGCTATCGAAGCTCCCCGTCGCCCGCGAGAAATGTTACCCAGCAGGGTACTAACGACTGTTTTCTGTAAAATATCTGTTCGGAGATGCAAATATTGCCTAGAATTTCTATTACTTTAGGACGGCTAAAAAAAAATCGAAAGTTATTCAGATATTGCCGGACACACCGGCGGGACGCTTTTTCCTAAATTTGTTTTTTTAGCAGCGGCTCCTGCTGTATTTACTGGGCTGCCTGTGCGCCCAGTCATAAAATGGGCTTTCGGTCGTCTGCGGCGAAAAACGGCCTCCCGGGGGAGGGAAGACACGAGGGTCTGGTACCAAGAAACGATGTTCTCACAAATGGTTTCATATGAGTTTCTCTTGCACGGAGCCTTGCACGGATACTTTTTGTACCTCGTCTGCGCTCCCCCTGAAAAACCCACAAAGCGTTGCGAACCTGAAGAAGGCTATTTGCGTTGTCAGGAGCCCATCAAATTTGATGGGCTCCTGGCGTTGTTCGAAGCGATTCGATCATGGGAGTCACTCTATAATTTTTTTATTGTTCGAGTTTAAGTCAGTTAGATGATGTTGGCGCTGGGAAACTCAGAGAAATGCTCGCGT